CTGTGCAGCATTGGAGTCCTGGCACTGCAACAGAACCTCCCCAAACCTGGATCTGCTTATTGGTTTTCTGAGCTCAACAACAAAGACCTTGCCCCATCTGGGAATGGATGAAAACAACGGATAACAACGGTATTTGCATCTGATATCACTCGTCTAAAGCGAAGATAGGTGGTTCCATACCTGAAGAGATTAAGTTCTTCTGTCAAGAGAGACCGGGGCGTAAAAAACCGGTCATGGAGGTGCAAACAATGCCCCTGATCTAAACATGATCAAAAGCTTTCAACGCCATTTAGTCGGTCAATCATGTGAATATGCTGCCCGTCCCTTAAGCATATCCTTGGATGGCGTGCCGTGGGATATGTTTCAATGATTAACTCTTTTGACTTGGTTGGTCTCAGAAACACATTTTTCTCAGGAGTGGGCTTAGCTTTGGAGTCACCTGGTGGGGTACACCATGCGACACCGGACCGGCACCTACTGGACTTCTGAGCACAAAAAGTAGAGGGAACACCTTTTTCTATCCTTTTCTATTCTTCTCAGCCAAACCCTCGTGCGGTTTCTTACCACAAAAAAAAATGATACCCGGATGCCTTGTTTGACCATAGGGTTCAGGATGGTTCAGGTGTCTGAGTGTGACCAGGATTACATGTTGGCTTACGGAGTGCCAAACACTCAACTGTTGATTGACATCACCAAACGAACCTTTCGGCAAGCCTCCCCACGATGTGCCCCAACATGCCCGTCTGGGGCGAAGCACGGTCGATTTGTTGAGAAAACGACGTCCAAACGTCACCGAACTTGGGGACCTGCTTCGAACGCTCCGTTGTGCCTGTTCGATCCTCTTTGCCGTCCTTTAGTAGATGTGTCTGTGAAGGGAGCGTAAAACGCATCACACATCATGCGTGAAGACATGCATGGCAAATGTGGTTGCCATCAGAGTGAAGGCAGCTTCCATGTACCGGCTATTTTGGTAGGTAATGAACACTTCGACATGTCGACTCTTGCAGTGCTACGGTCTTCATCAGGTTGACCTGTCGTAACTCTCATGATCAACGGCCCAATTGGCCGACGCTGGCACACACACACACACGCTCCCCAATCAACCTCTCCGAGCAACAGTGAGGATGCTCAATCTCTTTTGTATAAAGAAACGCTCCCTCGAGAATATCTGCTGATCTGCAGGTTGCAGTCTCTCACGCCACGTTGCACGCTCTCAGCTTGCTAAGCTGACCCATCGTGACCGCCACTTGTAGTGACCCTCGAGCGACCTCCGCTCCCTCCACCCTCGGCCCCCGTGTCCTGAGGCGGTGTCTCTGGCCTGGCGGTGGGTGGGAGAAAGTGAGGTTGATGTCGGATGGTCTACGTGGGTGTGTGGATGGTCTACGTGGGTGTGTATGTCGGTTTTGAGTCCAAACCTTTTCCACCAAACCGTGGGAGACTTACACATCCCTTATAAAGGGGATCTGTTCAATTTAAAAGGCCAGCCAGGGTGCAGTGCTACGCAGCGGAGATCCCCCGAGTCCTCTCGCGGAAATGGCTGGGTAGGGTCGTCTCCAGAAAACCGAACGCAGGCGGTCGGAATTGCTGGGATGGTGAAAGCATCTAACCAGTCCAAGATGACGATAGAGCAAGCCTGAGCCGTTTTTTTTTCGAATGAAACCAGGCGAGGACCCTGCAATGGCCCTATCCTTTTCGAGGTGCTGGATTTCTCCTTTCAACCGCTTGGCAAGGGTCATGCTGGACGCCTCCCTGTGGCGGTGTCCACGGTTGCCCGCCTGGCTTTACCCACCAAGCCACCGAGAGCGCCCGCCGCCGAAGAGGAGAGCGCCTTGGACAAACCCGACGACTTGGAATGAGGATAGAAGCGATAGCCTCCCACCTTATAATAGCGAGCAAAAAGGTTGAATACTCTTTCTTTATCTCGTTTTAATGAATGGGGATGAAATGCGAGTCGAATGGCGCCCTAAGTCCGACTGTCCTCTAGAAACCAGTGGTTTTCAGGGTCCATGGGATTGTCTTCAGCGGGGTATGTGCCAATAGGGTAAAATATCTAACGCACACCCTGCAGTTGGCAGCTGAGCTGAGTTGCCAAGCAGCTGAGTTGGGGACCTTGCTGGTGAAACCCCGTGAACGCCCCCGAAAGAGTGTGATCACACTAGACTGTTGTTGGTGACAAGTGATCACTAGCACCACCTTTCTTTTACACCCTTGATGTTTCAAGTGTCTCTACATCCAGGTGATTGAGCAACAGGCTCGTTTCACAGCCTTGCATGATCAAGTTGGGGGTTAGTTCAGGCTCACTTCTTCGATGCTGAAACCATGCTTTGTGACTGAAACGAGGTCACATGGCTGTCAGCAAAGCAAAGGTTTCAGGCGCAAATATGGTGCATGTTGTGCTTAATTGCAATAGAGAAATACGGCTTTATAGTAGACTTTCCACTGCTCCTTTCGCGTCGGTTCATCTTTGGTGGGAGTGGGCCTAGTTTCAACTCATACACAACCATTTGCACGGAGCTCCTTTCACCAGGAGCTAAGGGAATTCAGTGCATTTGAACGGTCAACCGCAGAAGGCCAGGGTGCGACCTGGCGGACCCCGAAGGGGGTTGGGATGGACCATTGTTCCTCCGACCTGCACTCCGACCAACAGCACGACCCTCCAAACAGCACAACGGTCCGTGGGTGTTGAGGCCAGCTGCTCGCGGCCCGACATGCGAAGTGGGTCATGGCACGGTCGTTCACCGACCGCTGTTCCAACGGTGAAAACGTTCATTCGCGGCTTGACTGGTGGACCAGGATGGACCAGATTTTGACCAGGTTTTGACCCATCCCCAGTTGGTTTCCGATTCATTTTGTCCCAAGTCTCACGCAGACGTGTCGGCAGCCATTCTCTGCACGTAACGTCAGGGCATCGAATTAGGCAACGTCAGGGCATCAGGGTGCGGTTTGGGTGCGGTGTGCAGTGTCTCACCGGATCACAAACACCAGGACCACCCAGTTCCTGTGAGTTTTGCAATCCCTCGGGATCCGTTTTCGTACTGAACCTCAAGTAAGGTGAGCAGGGAAACACTGTTATGCTGGTGCCAGGAGGGCCCAGTTGTACCGAACCTGAGACGGCACAACTGGATCCCTAGGGAATTATGAACTGATATGAAATGCCACTTCTTAATCCTCCTCTTTTCAGAGGGCTGCAAAAACGGAAAGGTGTTCACCACCACCCTGGTCTAAGCCCTGGCTTGCGCAAGCAAATTAGACTGCTGGTCACCAGCCGGCAGGCTCTGGTTTGGAAGCCGAAAAGGGTTTCATCTCTGTAATATATATGAGCAGAAAGGCCTGAAATTGCAGGTTGTTGCTTGCTTCCACCGCTTTAATTCCTTTTCAACCTATCCAACATCTGCTAAGTAATATAATTAGAGGCGTGTGTGTGTGTGCGTGTCCCCTGTTTCTAGGAGTTCTCTCTGTTTGTTTTCAAAAAGACCAATGAGGAACGTAGAGCGGGGGGCAGTGACAGAGTTTGTGGAACCACTGCCAACGAAGACGTCCACATTCTCTAGGGAAGCATCGGGAGACGTCCTGATGTGCACCTGCAGTTTCACGATCCGATGATGTAAACAATATTGAGGCCGATCCCTTCACCTTGCGGTTTCCACAGGGCCGTTGCCAGGCAGCTGAGGTCGTTTCTGCACTAAGTAGACAGTCAAGGGATACTGCATCGCTGAAGACCACTGAACATAATGCTCATTCATTTGAGCTATGAGTCTAAGTGTGTGTTTTTCCCACGAACTGTATTGATCAACGTGTACTATCTCGGGGTCCACTAAAAACTCAATTACCAGGGTCAACTGTCCTGCGATGCACTCAACATGTGGACATTCTCTAATTAATTTAACTACGGAGGGTTCCATGACCATGAGCAGTCTCAGTGATAGCAAAACATAACATACATCTTTATAAGAAAAACATAATTAATAAACCATGTACTATTCTTGGCCTGACCAGCTCGGCCAGTACTGGCAGCTTTGGGCCCCCAAAAAACAATGCATCGGCGTCGCCCAGTGGCGGCTTGTAATTCGGGCGTCGATCTTTTTCACGGCAGGGAGCAGGGTTCGAAGGATTCCCCGAGACTAGACCTCAGGAGGTAGGAGAATTACCAGAATTTGTTTAAGGGACAACCTGCAGAAAACCAGTAGTTTGGGAAATCCAAAACATGGCTTCCTGTAGATTTTCCCTATGCAGTAACCAATTCATTGAAGAACAGGAGTTTCAGTTTTGTCCTCTACAGACTTCTCTAGACTTCTGTAGACCTGTGCCATCCTGTGCCTGTGCAGTTTCAAGCTGGAGTGGAGAATAGGAAGATTGGGAAGCCTGGAGAGCACATCAACCCCTATTATATACCAATTACCCTCCCTCCATACTACATACGTCACATTGTGTGGTGTTCACACTCCGCTTGGTGGTCGAAACATCGTCTGATACTCAATGTGTCCCTAATAATATCTAAATTAATCTGTATATCTATAAATCTATAAATCCCTAGATACGGTTTGTCCTTCCTTTTGTGAAAGTATATCATTTCAAGATGCCCAACCATGCAGATCTAAAATATGTCCCCCCCCCAAAAAAAAACAAACTGTCTTTTGACAAATCAAGTTCCAATGAATGCCAATGGCGGCCAAGGGTGGAGGTGGCGCCCAAGGCTTTCATGCTCGATGTGTGCCACTGATGGCTTCATACATTTTTGTTCATCTGCTTGCCTTTCAAAGATCAGGTCCTGATCCAGTGACGAACACAAAGTAAACGATGGCGGAAACATGTTGCTTCCATCGCTCATAAAACAGCCCTTTTCCCACGAAATATCCGTCATAGCAATCCAAGGGCACAACAAATGGACATCGGACTGTCCAACAGCCCGCTCCTGTCTGCCGCGACATCCCCATCTTCATCCCTGCCTGTCGCCCTGCAGGGCCCTACAACTCAACTGCTAAGGCCGAAGGTCAACATCATCATCCCTCTGCACAGGGAAGGAGCCAGGTATTTTCAATGCCTCAGCTGCCAAGTTCTGCAAAACACCTACCTGTATGTCTACAACTTGGATGATCAGTGGAGAAATACTTGGGTACCAAATGGTACCAGCTTAACACATAAAACAAAGTTGATCTTGGAGATGGCGGTCTGCTGCCCCGCCAAAAAAGGTTTCGGTACGTTCCCCTTATTGAAAGTCACTCAAAGTTCGCAGTTCACAAAATGTTACAAATAATTGAAGATCTGAGGCCCAAAAGCCACCCAGTCTGACTCCGTTCTGACCAACACTTGGGCAGCTGCGCCTTTGCAATCATAACAAAATAAGTATTCAACTCAAAAAAACAGACCTGGAACTCAAGTATAAGATTCCCAGTTTTTGCAAAGATTCTCGAATCGCCAGTCACACAAAATCAAGAGTAATATCGATGAAGAACCCAATTTCTCAGGTCAGATACACATCTTCTGCAATGTTCAAATCTGCTCGATTTCACGAATTGAGACTCCTTGGTGATTGAACCTCATGTTTTGTGCCTTATTCATGAGCCAGTGCTGTGTGTGCACTTCATGGCTTCTATTTCTGGCTTCGTTCCAGGAGTTCAACATCCACAAAGCTGCTATCGGTCAGACCGTCAGACCGCCAGCGACCTCCAACAAAATAGACCAAAACAAAGCACAGAAACCAAAGTCTTCAGAGTGAACCACATTGACAAACAAAAGATGAACCGGGGTTCTCCGATTTGGAGAAAGTCATTTGCCAAAGAGGTTCGCTGCAACCCTCGTCACATCAGATTATCAACAAACATTGTAACATATCGTAACCACAACATGCGAGGGCTGAAACCTCCATCGACATGGTCAAGCCACCTCTTTTCACATTTTGCTCCGTCTCGATTCACCAACAAACAACCAATATGTGAGGGACCCGATTTCAATGGCAATACCAGTGCAAAAGAATCAGGCCTGAACAGGACCCAGGCTGAACAAGTATATACTATACTGATAGCCGCATGCGTTCAAAAGCACTGTAATGGAATGTTCTTTCAATTCCATAACTTCACTCTGGAAGCGAATCGGTTTCTTCAAAAGAGTGTTCTTGGGCCCTGCCATCGTGGCTAAAGCGTAGATGTGTAAATGAGATCGCCGCGGAAATGCGCCGAAGCGACGGCCGGGTTTCCAGCGGAAAGAGGGGCAAAACGGGAACTGCTTGGCTTCGTGTCGGGAGTTAGGGAGTCTTTCTCAACACCCGGCCGACTTCAATAGGGCGTGTACTTCAATAGGGGGACCCCCAACCGGTTCTGGTTTGTTTCCCTTCCAGGGGGTCTCTGGGAGCTCTCCCTAATACATACCCATTTGATGATGTGTGGCGGCTTTGTCGCCGATTCGCGGCCCCAGTTAGCGATCCCAATTGGGTTTTCTTCGGATGTTTTGAGGATCCCAAAACCATCCATGTATGGAATAAGTGCGACTTCATCGTAGTGAGACTTCATGGAGTGAGACATGTATTTTAACTTTTAACATCTTCCAGATCCCATTTGTCTGGTCTGTTTTGGTCTGGGGATGTTTCCTCTAATAGTAGCTATTTGCTCCTAGTAGTAATGCCCTTTGCTACTACTAGCGATGCCCATATTATAGCTAGTATAGCTTCTTGTTACCAGTAGTAGTGCCAGGAGCTACGAGCGTAGCTTCTTGCTCCTAATTAGGAGCGATGCCCTTTGTTCCGTTCGTAGCGTCCGTGCTCCTAGTAGCGATGCCAGGAGCCCCTAGTAGCTTCTTGTTACTACTAGTAAGGCACTTGTTACTACTAGCGTGGCACTTGTTACTACTAGTAAGGCACTTGTTACTAGAAGCTGGTCTGGGGTTTCATGTCGCTCGAGGTCAGTGGGACATCCAAGCGACTTCCACATGGTGCACCAAGCACCTCCCGTCGCACTGACCTGCGAGACGCGCGAGGCGACTCTGCTGTCGGGTCCAAAACAAAAGTAAAGATGTGCTGTGCTAATTAGTATGCATGTTAGTGATTCAAATTTTAAGACATGGTCACCAAGATGTGAGGGGTTTAGATGGGTTCTTGACCACATATTTAATATATAACTTAATTCCATGTGCTTTGAAGCGGTGGTGTTTCTGTCATGACATGTCCAACTCACGTATAGAAACTTTGTGCATGGGAGATGGTTCACCAAGCAGGTACTGAACTCCAGTTGTATGGAATGCGAGCCGGAGTGTGAATAATCAAATGGACAATTTAGCAGGCCATCCTGGCAAATACCCTCGAGAATTCTTCGTAAGCGAAAGGTCTCGCAAGTTTGGAGCTCTGAACTGTTCCGGCTACTCTGATCATCGGTTTTCAGAGGCTCGGGGCTGACTCCAACACTAAGATTCTGCCGATATTGGGCGAAACTGCCAACACTCAACTTCCAATTAGAATCAACTAAATATGATTGGGCCATGTCCATTGTTTCCAACCGTGCCAATTCCAGCACATGACTGACCTTCGATGCAGGCACTTCAAAGCTAGGATACTAAGGATACCAAAACGATCCAAAACCTCAAATCACACTTGCTGGCTGATTTTATGAGGAAAATTGGAAGATTCATTCGCTGACTGAAGCAGAACGCATTTCATTTTTCATGTAGACATAATAAAGATACATATTATATATATATATCGCTTGAATTGGATCCTTATAGGTCTCCATTGAATCCAAAAGACTGGCACAACATCCTTCGGATTCGCCCCGAACGATTCGTCGGAAGGCCAAGGCCAACGCCTTCGATTCGACGTCAGGGAGTTTTCCAGGGAGTCACCAGGCCTCTCTGAGTCTTTACAGGTCCAATGTGGAAAAAAACATGTATACTGATTGACGAAAAGAAAGAAACAAGCACGCAGAAACACATGGCTGGGTCTGTTTTGTGTTTGTACTAGATGCAGCTACTTATTGAACCCATGTCTTTTTTCCGATCTGACGCTTTGTGGAACGCTCCTGCCTGGTGCTCGGACCCAAGACCAGAGGAGCGCTCCCAAGACGGCGCTTGAGCGGAGCCTCGAAGCCCCAGCCCACGCCGGCGCCGGTGTGACTCGGTCCGCTGAGTGAATAAACAAACACACAAGTGAGCCAAAGGCGTGTGGCGCCATGTGGCGCCTGAAGACACTGAGATCATGATCAATAAACCACAGACATGAAGAAGACCGGGTTTTACATCGTTTTGACCGAATGCACACAGGTTGGTATGGCGTTGAGAAAAGCTCTGCTAACAGACCAAAGCCCAGAACGGTTGGGACCTCAACAAGGGACGACGGCTGGATGAGATTTTGTGAAAGAGAATCGAACTAACAGTGAAGAATGAGCGCTCTTAGTGACAAGAACAAAGACAAATAACAAAAAGGAGACTGAGCTATAGAGAAAAAGAAAGAGAGCGAGAAACAAGACTCCCCTTGATCCAAAGCTGGGCCCTCTTTCCTGCACCAACCGGACCTTCACCCAGATCCCTCAAAAATACTTGACGTGTCACACAATGTCAATTTGGGCATGTTGGGTTTTGATGCTGTTTCTCACGAATCTGACACTTCACACTTCATCACATTGAAATGGTTGCAGATGGTTGCGAATTACATTAAAGCAACCTCAAGCGACGAGCGGCTCTACCCCCACATCCCAAGAGTTGAATGAGAAGCCTTCGCTACGCATTTGGGACAAAAAATGCCTGGAGAATCGTGGAGATCTAATACCATTCTAGTAGGAGGCTTTAATCGCTTTAATTCATCAACCGTCTAAGTCTAAGATGTCACACAGACCGCGTCTTGTAGCCCTGGCGACCGGGTCCACAGACCGCTCTCCCAGCGAAAGGCACAGCGCTCGGCTCGATCCTCGTGGCGACTGGGGAGAGGTTCTCCTGACCGTGCCTCTCAAGGTGCGAATTCAGCGCATTGGCGATCTGCTCCGAAGGGGAATGAGATCTTGAACAACTTCTCGGAGGATTTCATCGAGAACGTCCACCGGACCGAACATCCGATCTCGCCCAGATCGAAATAGATCGAATGATGGTGTAGTTGGCACCAAACTCCTGTGGTCCACACTAGATTGGTCAAGAAAAATGTGGCCCATGACACGAGCTGATATGGCCCCAAACGGCCCAAAGCAAAAAGAAGCAAAGTGGCACAACTTCTCATCCAATTTGCAAAACACGGGCCTGTGTCACACTAAATCCAGTGTTGAGACGCGGGATGAAACGGAAAGCCATGTCCCGAACTAATCCAAAAGCCATGTCCCAATGTATTTTGATTCAACATCCAAATGCGTGTCCAATAGGCCTCAATCAAACCATTAGGCCAGCCCCAAAAACGCCTACATTCTGGTTAGATAACATAACGAGTCACAAGTGCATTACTACAGTATATAGCCAGAAGCTAGCTCATCTAACTCCTTTAAATCCATCAGACTCACCCAGTCCCCGGCTGAAAAAGCATCCCTCGCCTTACACCGACTGCTGCAGCGAAGTGCTGCTGCAAGCGGCGGCCCAAATCACTTGATGGAGTGCACCTGGGTGAAGTGGGACATGGAACTTCCACGACCTAAACCAGACTGCCCAAACCATCCCAACTACGTAACTCGGCACGTTCAACACGTAACTTGGCACCGGGTTCGTTCGCGACGCCCCAGTGAGGCGGTACCATGCGCCCCAGTGAGGCGGTACCATGCGGTACCCCAACAACACATATAAATTACACACACAACCAAAACATGCAGTGGTTCTGCAGCACCCAAACTTTGAAGGCCCTCAAAGCATTCAGTTTGCTCATGTTTGCTTCAGAAGTAGCTCAAATTAGCCTGTCTTGATGGATCAGAGTTTCTTCTTGGATCATTCCAGCTAGTGAGCACCAACAGCGCTCCATGGGTTAGAAGAGCAGCATCCTGCCAGTAAGCACTGGCATGGTCTGGTGGTCTTCGCGTTGCTGATGGATTCTGCTGATGCACCCGACTGTGGCGTGATCGGGGTGGCAAAACACATACCCCCGCACCTAAGCTCAACCATTGGAGAATCAACCACGGAGAACGTTCTTCGCTTGAAAACCGAGCGGGTGCCTTGCTTCACAAAGAGTTCTTGAAGGCTGCGTGCGCACTGTGCACATCCCTTGTCATTTGTCTGTTCAATGAGACATCTTCCCCTTCTAGGAACAAATGCATAGGTTGGTGCCGCCAAATCATTCACTATAGTTCCCAAATGAAAGAAAGGCCCTCCCGCTGCTCGAAAGAAACCTTCCAAACTGTGACTACCCACCATTAGAGGCAGTTATAGATGTAGACTTGAAGACAATGTATATAGAACATAGATATTCTACTTCTCTCTGGACTCGACTCTCATGACACTAAGTCTTCTTTTGGGAGCCGGGACACCTGGCAACCCCCCCCCCGAGACGCCCCGAAGCCATGCGCCACCCTCGCAGAACCCGTCGCACCCAAGGGACCGCCACTCCACCAGGTGTCGTTGAATCCAGTGGCTGAGCCGGCGTTGCAAGTTCCGCGCCTTCGGAACACCAGTGCCCCAGCGGGCGTCCAGCAGCAACCTGTGGAGCGGAGAAGACGAGAGAAGACGGGAGAAGGCGAGACGCCAGTTCCATGGCTGGAAAGGGTGTGTAGAAATGTCCGAAGCCTTGGACGTCTTCAGGAGTTATAGATGTTCAAGGGCACGCTGGAAACAAACCCCAAGAATGCAGCCTGGGACTTTTGGAAGCTATCAATGTATGCTGAACCGCGTAGCATTTCACCGCACATCCATGATACAAGCAGCAACACCCCCAGCTGTTCATGCATGTAAGCCACAGAACTTGCTGGGTTCAGGAAGTTTGTTCACGTTTCAGTGGATACCCAGGACCAAAAATCATTGCCCAGCATCATGCTGCCCATGCCGTCCTTTGGTAGCCCCCCCCCCCCCCCAAAAAAAAAATAGGTTGCAACGGGCAACCAAGTGTGCATAACCCTGTTCCATCCTGTTCCGGTACATCCAATATATCCACCCAACCATGATACACTAACATGAACCAACCAGTTGGTGCCCAGTTCCATTCGAGTCACACCGAGTCACACTGCACCATAGTCCTGGCTATGCCGCAGCACGCGTCCCACGGCCTGGGACGTCGAAGATTGAACTGCATTGGCCCTGAAAAGGCATCTGAAAACCACCCATCCATGTAGGCAAATAGATATGGATTGATGTGTGTGTGCGCGTGTTTTTTTGTTAGTTTTCCCTTTCATAGGAGCTTTATTCCTTTCTTTGGTTTGCGGCAGCCAGCTTTACAAGAAACACTTTGCGATGGGAAATAGGTCTTTACATGATATGTGCGTGTCTGTCGATATTTTTGTGGTCCTGCTGCAAACAATGTTTATGAGTATTCGCGTTGCTGGCTGATACTGATAAGTGCAATAAAAGTTGCGATGTTTACTACAGGTTATATAATTAGGAAGCTTGGTACGAGTATGGACTGACTGAGGCTCTTGAGAGGGAGAACTTTACAGAACATCTTTAATCAATTCGGCCAGAGTGGTCGCCTGGCAGGGGAGGATTGGGCAGTAACTCGGTGCTCGAGAATGGTTGCTTCGCTTTCATGTGGGGATTCAATCATTATTAGATACCCTAATAGCTTCTTGCTCCTAGTAGCGATGCCAGGAGCCCCTAGTAGCTTCTTGCTCCTGGTTATACGTTTGATTGATGTGCCACACAAAATAAGACAAAACTCCCTCCATCTCCATCTCAAAAGCGGTTCTTTTCACCGCACCTGGTTCACTGCTCGATGTGCCTGAAGCTCGTACCACTCATCACCTGCCATTGGGGTGGTCGTTCCGGCCGCGAGCTCCGAATCCTATCCTGAGGGGTCGGGACTGGGAGGTCGGCCCGTGAAGAAGCACCTCGCGGTCGGTCACTTCGGTCTGTACTTTTCTGAATTTAAAAGGTTGCGATCATGTTGCAGATTTGGTTGGTATTTATCACAAGTTCTTAAACTCAAAGGTTCAGATTGAAATAGCATTCTAGTGCTTGGTCTACTATATATAGGTACTTTTGGGGTTGCCACATGTTGCCACCGCGGCGCTTCTTTGCTTTTTTGCTGCGCAGCAGCTTTCAGTCCAAGTTGAAACAAAAACACACGGAAGACATGAAACATGGCAACATGAAACATGATCGCGCCCCCTGAGATCGGGCAAATCCTTTGGACTTGGTCAAGTCGACCTGACTTGGTTTCTTTTCTCAACCTTCAGTTGTGCCGAACTCAGGGATCGATCACACAAGGGTTCCAACAGCAACACCCAAACTCACCAGGACCTCTTCAGCCGTCCGTGACCTCGAAATGGAGTCTCTACAGTAAGTGACCTACAGTCTCACCAGGCCTGTTGGTGACCGGAGATCCTCTGGGGATCTCAAGGACGATGACTGAACGAAGGTCCTGAAGAAATCATCTTGAAAAGGCTCCTGGACGTTTGATCTCTAAAGGACCACTACCTTTGTATGATACCCTTATGATACGTCCAGCATCATGTATCTTTTGGCCGCCGCCGACTCATGCCACCCTGCTGCGAGCCGGCTTAAAAAAATGCACGAAACCGGCCAGGTGTTCGGACTGATGATGTGGTCTTGGACGTGCAAACAGCGGTGGATCTTTAAGCTCAACCCTCCCAATCCCCGACTCGACAAAAATGGACCACCTTTGCATGGACCAGTCGGGTGGTTTTTGTTTCTTTCGAGTGCACAGGATCTTCTGCGCACATGTTCCTGAACAACGTCTTGCGCGTTCCGTGAGTGTTTACCTGCACCTTGACCCTGAACTTAAATATCTATGTGGATCTATGTGGATCTCATTCAGCAGTCCCTGGTGTCCACAACATATCCCCCCAACACACACAACAAATTTGATCTGCAGGCTCTAAATCTATCTTCACAGCGACATCAACGGCAACCGTCGTGACGTGCTCGCCTGACAGCCAGGCCGAGGTCCCGCGACGTCGCTTCGAGTCATTCCATTGGCGCTTTGCTTGGACCACCGGGTCGTTCCTCGAGCGTGCGGAGGTGCTCGTGAGGGTCCCGAGGTGGATGTGCGGCCAAACGGGCACCGTGGAGAGAGGTGTGTGTTCCTTTTTGGGAGACCTGGTAGAGGAGTGCAGGATGGATGAAGTATGATGATGTTCATCATACTGAATCATACTTCATACGCTTCATAGCAGTGTGGCTGTGCCGTTTTTTCCATCAACCGCAAGTGACCCTCTAACAGGCCAAGCGGGAGAAGAACGTGAGCAACGAAAGAACGTGTCACTGACGAACCCATCTGTCACTGGGGTGCCTGAGCAAAATCACATCTGATCACGAGACGAAGAACTCATGGGATCATCTGCTCGTGGTCACTGGGATCATGGGATGCTGTGGCTCTTGTGGCTTAGATGCTGCAGCTCTCATAGTCACGGGATGTCACGGGTCTTGTCCTGATAGCTCTGGACAACTGTGACGGCAACAAATGAACCTCGCCACCCTGAGGAAAAAGGCCTCCCCTCCAGTGTTCGGGGCCCCGCCAAGCATCATCTGCGGATATGGCACGCCGATGCAAATGACTGCCCGGCACAAATCATCCGCAAAGTCCATGCCTCTGTCCGGACAGGTGAACAAAGGAGCAAGGACCAAGCAAGTCACTCAAGTCACACAGGATCTTCTCTCAACCCATTGGCTTGTCACCCTTTCTTCCTTTCTTTCTGATGCGCCCAAAGGTCTTGCCTGTGGCTAACATGCACCGAATTTGGGAAGTGAAATGGAGAGCCACTGAGCACAGCCTCAGTGACTCAGTGGTTGCCCCCAAAACATCGAAACAAGGAGATGAAACAAACACCCCTTAACATCTAAGGGGCTATCAATAGAAGCCCCTTAGGATGTCCTGGTACCTGGAGCCTGAATGACCTCTATTTTGGACCACCAACCACCCATTGATGGTCTTTTCGTATCAACACAGAGGTCAAATGGGTTGCAGGTAATTATAATAGCGCTTTTTAGATGCTTTACAGCCATTCTCTACATCCATGCTCTACATCCATGCTTTACAGCCTTTTTACTGTTCAGCGGGAATACAGCCACCAAAGGGTTCTCTACTCTTCCCTCGCCTTCGCTCATCTTCCCTCGGTAGACCGCCAAGCACAAGGCTCCTCGCCCGTCTGTGGCACCTGGCGACGAAAACGGCGAGGAAGGTCTTCCTCGGTCTCTGTTGTTTTGGAAGGGGTTTCGCATCGTTTGAGAGTTCTTCTCCCCGGGTTTGAAGTTCGCAATCAATCGACCAGACTCTTTTGACTGACGATTGTCGATTTGGAAAGGAGTCAAAGGGTTTGTCGATGTGACTGTGATGGGTCGGAGACTGAGACAACACTAACACGTGTCAGCTATTCGAAGGTGTTCAGGAGCGGACTCGTCGGTCTCTAGCTGGGTCTCTCTGATTTGGAAGGAGCCCCGTTCGTAGCGTTCTTGCTCCAGCGATGCCCTTTGCTCATTTTGAGCCCCTGATTCCAAACCAAAGGATCTAGACGCTCGATCTGGTCTGGCGATCTTGATCGACCAATCTGGGCCAAGGTCTACGTCAGTCTTCCAAACGCCCGTAGTCAGACCAGTCAAAAGAGTCTGGTCGATTGAAAGCGAACGTCAAACCCGAAAAGAAGAACTCTCAAACGATGCGAAATCCCTTCCTAAACCATCCTTAAAAATGGTTGAACAGGAAATGACCAAATATCCAACAATGGTTGTTTGGTAAAGGCTATATTGAATCTTTTTGAATCTATGGTGAAGGCTTAAAAACACAAAGAATTGCACACCACCCAAATCTCATGGGTATGGCTCCAATTTAGGGGGAGGAAGGATTCTAGTAACAAGGACGCTATTAGGTTGGAGGCCATCGCAAGTAGGTTGAAGGCCATCGCTACTAGTGTAACAATAAAGCTATAGTACGTATGTCTTTGAAGCTTTCTAGTAACTAGAAGCTACTAGGTGGAGGCCATCGCTAGTAACTAAGACCTCTTCGCTTCACAGCCGCGCGGCCATGCAACGCTGGGAACCGCCTGCGAGGAAGCGTCGAGAGAGCTCTGGGAGCTCGGAGGTCGTTCGGGGCTCGACGACCAAGGTCTTCACCTGGCGCTTGGCCGCAAAAAAACAGCAAAACCACATGAAACCACCAAAAAAAGACAAGAACTGCCTTGAATTCCCCTAAAATCCACCCGTTGTGGTTATTATGTGTTTCTCCATGTTTCTCCTTAGCAGTTTGTGTGTTTGGTTGCTGTTTCATGTTGTTTCTGTTCTTCTTGGGGGGTCCAAGAACTGGATCGAGTCTATCGCTGAGGGATACCCGTCGTTGCTTGCTGCCGAATCGAGAAATCCGCCGTTGCTTGCTCCTCGTAGCAATCCGCACGATCGAGCCATGTCCAATACTCATCAACACAACCCAAAGGGTCACCACCATATACACTCCCTGGAACTAACATGGAAGTGGAGAATGACCCCTTGGAAGACCATGAAATCCACTACAAACAGGTGGTTTTCCACTTCCATGTTAGTTCTAAAGGGAGACTAAATGATTCTAGGTGGTCTTCCCATCAAAATGCACCGTCCACCCGCTTTCTCCGATAAATCAAGCCCCAAATGCCACCTGGGGGGGCGGGAGGATCTTCCAGATCCGCCGGAGTGGGTTGCTGGGGGATGGCATCTGCAAAAAACTGTTTAGCAACATCCCCAAAAGAGGTCCTTCAAACTGTAGAAACTAAAAACTTCTGGATTGAGAGAGGCAGTATGAGATCTGCCATGATCATACCCAGAGCCCAGCCCTTTCAAGAAGTTTCCGGATGCCCAAGCACTCATATCCACCATAGTCTTGTGAAACCATATTAACACCAAACCCCCCACGAATCCACGAATGGATGAACCCACACCGTTCTGGTGATTCTGGTGAACCCCTCTGCACGAACGGATCTCCTCGCCGTCCACGGAGTTCACTCGTTCACGTCGCCTCCTCGAGACGCCGGTAAAGGCCACCGCGCTGCCAAAAGAGCATGGCCAGCTCCAAAGTTTGATAGGAGGGCCTCAACCGTCACGGATCCACATGACGTCTGAGCTGAAATCTGAAGGGCTGGGCTAAAGACGGGCTACATGGCAAAGATGGTACACAAACATCTAGATGGTACACAAGTAAGCCCTGTGTTTGGGGTTGCAGATTCATTGATTCATCAGGTGTGGGGTAGTCCGAGAGTCCATTATAGACTCGAAGGGATGGTCCTGGTTTGTGAGACCTCAAAAATGACCGTCCGGTCATGCAATCACCTCAGTAGTGACCATGTTCCACACAAGTAAATCACAAGTAAGTGGAATTCTTGACCACACCTTTGAAGGCCGACCGGACCACCATCGGTGGCTTCACCATTGGTGGCGAAGAGAAAACCACCGTCCGTTCGGCTTCGGTTCATGCACCGGAAAAGAACGAAGAAGGCTTCGATGCACCTGTCCTCTAAGCAAAACATAGAGCCAGTCGGTGCTTCTTTTTTTTTCAAATTCCTATATCAGGTTGCGTCAGTTGACCCACTTGTTGCTGTACCTTTTCCTGTGATTCTTCCCTCAAAAAAAAAGTTCGCACTGCAAAATTCCTTCCTCCGGTCGAGGTCTGCCACTTACTACTCCCCATGCAGCCGGTACATCCTCAAAAGGGCTCCTTTGCTTGTGAATTCTTCTTCTACACTTGGTCATCTTCACCTTCGTTCCATGGCCATTTCTCCCTTCCAATCTCCCCAACCTTGCACCCTCCCCAAGAAAACGTGCTCTCCACCTTGGTCCAAGGGAATGTTGCGCGAAGAATCGTGTCCCCTCCACCTAACCCCCCCCAAAAAGTCCGAGACTTGAGTCCAGGCGCAGAAAGCAAAGAACTCCACCCGGGATCTTCGAGACCAACTCCAAAACGCCAGCGCCCAAGGCCTCGACGTTCAACCGAACCGTTCGGCCCAGACGTGGGCGCAGACGTGGGCGCCGTAAGGTGCGCGTTGAGGTGCTCCGTAGAAACGAGTTTTGGGGGTCGAGTCAAGAGGTGATCAGGCCACCACAGCCACGCTGAGCGCGAGTTTCATGTGGCGAGTTCGAAAGACAATGGGAATCTAAACAGGCCGACTGCTTGGGTCCGCTATAACCGTGGGTCCGAAGGGGAACATTATTGCGGCATGCAACGACCAACAATCAACGCACAGAAGGTTTGACAAATCTTTTGCTAACATGTTCAGCTTATAAATGAACGTATATTATAAATTTATAATGCCCAAAGGCCATTTTGGGATATTTTGGGTCTACGTCTGGCTCAAAATCGACATTTACCCACCATCTACGTCTGGCTTGCATCTCTTCGTCTAGAGCGGCTGCTTCTCCCTTCAGCTTTAAGTTCCACCCGTTTGATTCGTATCGCGTCCTTTTCACGCTCAAACCATGTACGCTTTTTGGGTCTAAAGATGTCTAAAGACGAAATCGCGCCAAATCGCGGCGTGGTTTGCGCGAAATTGAGCGCGTTCCAGACGTCTTGGGGGTTTGCGGCCTGGACAAACTCCTCGGATTGCCAGGCCCCATAGGTGCTCACCTCGGTGGGACCCCAAGACCGAGACTTTTGAGGTGTCGGTCCGATACGCCGAGATGAAGGCAACGGTTGGTGCAAGAACCCGGGTCCTGAGATGGATCATATGGGATGAGATGAGGTGAAGGACCCACATCAGTGAGGTCCAGGTGAAAACGGTTCTGGGTCTGTTGATGTTGTCGACATGAGAAGATCGAAAGGTCGACATGAGAACAGATCATCCGGTGCATCACTGAGGTGCAAGTTTCGATCCGTCAGTCTGTTCGGGCTTGATCAATCAGCCTGAAAGAGCAAGTTTCAATGTATAGATTCTTTGGGGCCCAACCCTTCTGCGCTGAGGGGGATTAAGGCTCCAAGTCTTCAAATCTGAACGTATTCAACTGGGAGAACAAAGCCACCCGGGTCAGTCCCTGGTGTTCAGCATGTCGAACCCTCGAATCCTCGAAGGCTAAGGCTTGGTGGATCCCCCTTGACGTTCGAAACACGCTAGCTGGGGGGGGCATGGAATGTGCGCTTGCATGATCAAAGGTCCGAAGGTCTTAAAGGATCTATGTAGAATCATGTAATCCATGGAATTCCCACATCCCAGAAATTTGCAGAAAATTCCCTCAAACCCAAGAATCACCTCTTAACCAGTGGACCCTGAACTAAGCATAGACCATCATTTTTGTTGACTCCTAAATCCATTTGAATCCATTTGATGTGATGAATCCACCTTTTTAAACATCCTTTGAATCCACCAGAAAATTCTTGGTGTTAGGAGTCATTTGAATGCATCTTTTTGACTCATCAATGACACCAACCGAGCTGTGATCCTTTCCTTCACTCCATGGGCTCAGACGCGCCACAAGGGGCTCCGACTTCCCAGCACCATCCAGTGCCGGCAGCACTGCGGCGAACAGCTGCCACGGTGAAACCACATGCCTCGAAGCGTGAGGTTACGGTGGATGTCACATGCTTTGGGTGTTGATGTCACTGATGTTTGCGGAATTTTTGGCGGGTCGGAGATGGTTATGAGGGTTGGATGGCCAAGTATGACCAAGGGTTGCAGTGAATGTCCAAGGGTTGCAGTGAATGTTTCTCTCAGTGCTGGTTCCAATTGACTTGGGCTCTATCGCCTGCGTCATAGTTTTACCAAGAACCTGACGGTCAGGTTGCATTTGGGTCATGTTTGTGTGCGTGTGTGTCTGTGTGAGCGTCTTTTTATTGTTTCTGTGTTTTGATTGTACATACTAACCCAACTCTGCAGCAACCCACCTCTGCAACCACTAGCTCCGCAAACCGTCGAACCGTCGTCACACGTTGAAAGCTCCTACCGTTTTTTCAAGAGTTGATGACGAGCCGCATCATGTCAAGGAAGGAATCATCCATCCATGCCCAGACCCTCCATGGGACTGGCATATTTAGGATGGAGATTCTTTCCGGATTTTCCCGAATGCGTAGCGAAGGGTTCTCGTTTAACTCTGGGGGTCTGGGGGTAGAGTCTTGTTCGCGACCCGTTGCTTCTATGTTCGCAACCGTCCGCAACCGTTCGCAACCGTTCGCAGTAGGACGCTAAGGCGCTGCCATTGGGGGAAGCTTTTGTAAGTGACTTTTCATGGATGTGTCACGTGTCAGTTTGCGACGCTATTCCATTGTGATTTGCATGAAAATGACATGTCGCGCAAGAAGCGTGATGCATTTCGCTGCACAGGCGCAGTGGTTTGAGAGATCCGCAGTTGACTGCGCAGTTCCATTGGGATTAGCGTTTGGAGAGTCGTGTTTTTGGGGTGTTGGATGTGGCCGTGCCATTGGGATTTGCGTTTCAGGGTGTGGCATCGAAGCTCTGTTTTCGTGACAAGTCTCAGCTGAAATGGCGATTTTGGTGGATGGGAGTGTGCTCAGAACGGGTCGAAATCATTCTAAACGTGTGGTGTGGTGCAAATTTTGTTGAAGCTCACGTGAGATGATCTTCTCACTTTTCGAGGCAGGCACAGTACTTTGTGCTGATTTTGAGGTGTGGAAGTGCGATTCTCGTGGCAGGCGCAGGAAATCGTGGTTGCGAGGTGTGACGGAGGTGACATTTCGTGGCAGGCGCAGTACTTTGTGCGCGTTAGACGTGTGGATGCGGAAAGATTCGTGGCAGGCGCAGGGAATCGTGAGGTCGTGAGTTGTGGTAGAGGTGAATGTCGCTGTCACATTGGGATTGGCGTGTGAGGGGGTATTGTTTGGAGGGCTGGACTCGCGAAACTGCTTGGCAGGGCTGCGTGATGTGTGTGCTCCGATGGGTGTTTCCGCTTGACTTTTGGAGGAAGTCTCGTACGAAATCCTCGTTTTGCAGACTTTGACATGTGAGTTTTGGAGGAAGTCTCGTACGAAACGCTCGTTTTGGAGACTTGACACGTGACTTTTGGAGGAAGTCTCGTACGAAACGCTCGTTTTGGAGACTTGACGTGTGACTTTTGGAGGAAGTCTCGTACGAAGCGCTCGTTTTGGAGACTTGACGCGTGACTTTTGGAGAAAGTCTCGAACGAAACGCTCGTCTTGCGCAGCCTCGAAGCGTGACTTTTGGAGGACGTCTCGTACGAAACGCTCGCAGGAGTGCTTCTAGTGTGCCACAAGAGTGTCCTACAAGAGTGTCCCACAGCCACAAGAGTGTCCCACAAGAGTGGTCCTACAAGAGTGTCCCAGAAGAGTGTCCCACAAGAGTGTCCTATAAGAGTATCCCACAAGAGTGTCCTACAAGAGTGTCCCATAAGAGTTTCCCTACAAGAGTGTCACACAAGAGTGTCCCACAAGAGTGTCCTACAAGAGTATCCCACAAGAGTATCCCACAAGAGTGTCCCACAAGAGTGTCCTACAAGAGTGTCCCACCAGAGTGTCCCACAAGAGTATCCCACAAGAGTTTCCTACAAGAGTGTCCCACAAGTGCCACAAGGAGTGTCCTACAAGAGTGTC